CCATTGATGAGTAATTCTAATGCACAAGTCATTTACAATTGCCAAAAAAGATTGTTATGCTATGATGTTACTTAATTGCAAATTTCTGCATGTTTTTGGGCTGGTTTTTTGTGTGTCTGTAGTATATTCTTTCCTTTGCTTTATGGTTTTTCGCTTAAAAAAAGAGGGAAAATTACTCAACTTTGTAAATTTTCATCTTATGATTACTTCGCCGGGTGAGTCATTTAGAAAAAAATGACGTTTTTGGTTCGGTTCGAGTGTTTATGTTCTTAAAAGGGCGTTATATTAGTCCCTCTCTCTGTCTTGTACTGATTACTTGAGCATTTGTAGCTGATTCTTTGTGTTTGTGTGCACTTATAGTAATTTGTATCAAATTCACAGTTATATTACATTGTTTCAAATGGTTTCTTAAAAATTGGAATTGATGTTTTGTAGGCATGAGATTGTTGGTGTTGTGACTTCTGTTGGGAAAAATGTGAAGAAATTCAAAGCGGGCGATCAAGTCGGGGTTGGTGTCATAGTTGGATCTTGCAGGAGCTGTGAAAGTTGTGAGCAGGAATTGGAGAATTACTGCCCCAAGATGATATATACTTACAACTCACATTCATTTGATGGAGCAAAGACTTATGGTGGCTATTCTGATAAGATCGTTGTTGATCAACATTTTGTTCTCCGATTTCCTGACAACTTACCCCTTGACGCTGGGGCTCCGCTTCTATGCGCTGGAATCACAATTTATAGCCCAATGAAATACTATGGAATGACTGAATCTGGTAAGCATTTGGGCGTGGTTGGACTCGGCGGGCTCGGTCACGTGGCTGTTAAGTTAGGTAAGGCATTTGGGTTGAAAGTAACGGTCATCAGCACATCTCCAAGAAAGAAGGAGGAAGCAATAGACAGACTTGGTGCTGATTCCTTCCTTGTTTCAAGTGATGCTGAACAGATGAAGGTTTGTGATTTTTTCCATTGCCAAATCGGTTGGTTTGTTTTAGATTATGCATCTGCTCCCTCTTACTGAATAACGGATGGTGAGGTCGTTTACTAGTTAGTCTTGAGTAGCGATTTTAGTTATATGTAAGGAAAATTATAATGGGTGGCAAAACTGATTGCCATGTTTACAAATTTGTCACGTAGAAAAATAATTTGCAAATATGACAATTTTTTCTCTCGTATATAACTAATACACCATTTTTCTATCATTGATAAAATATATCACTTACAAACCACTTTTGTATCATTGATACATGAGTTCTTGCATTTTAGCTACTTTTGCAAAATATTTTATCATGTGACAAATTTGTAATTATTAGACTACATTTGCTTTTATCGCAAATGACAATTTAGGTGCTGATTGGTGAGCACCATCTCTATGCTGACCATCCTTCAAAAATTGTTTTAGCTCATTATTTTTTTAAAAAAGTTGTCTGATTTTGTATTTTTCTCTTTTATTTGTCAACAATTTAATGATGGTCAACGCAAGATAGTACTTTAAGTATTTTCTTATCGCAAAAACCTCTATGTAATGCTTCTTAATTCCACGTAGGCCGCCATGGGAACTATTGATTACATAATCGACACGGTATCTGCAGTTCATGCCCTTGCTCCATTGCTTGGTCTGCTAAAGCTCAATGGAAAATTGGTCACTGTGGGTTTGCCTAACAAGCCGCTGGAGCTGCCGATCCCTTCTCTAGTTCTCGGTGAGGCAAAATTGATCTGTCTCGAGTCGGAACTTAGAAGAAGCTCTTTGGAAAAACATCACCTTATGAACTTAGAAACTAAAACAATTGACATGAGATCAGTTTGTGACATTTTTTTTTTTGCTGCTAATATTAAATAAGAAGTAAAATCTTTTGTTTTTTTTTTTTGGCCTTTTCAAACTCTGGTTACAGGTAGGAGGATGGTTGGTGGAAGCAACTTTGGAGGTCCGAAAGAGACACAAGAGATGCTGGATTTCTGTGCGAAGCACAATATTACAGCAGATATTGAGCTGATTCAGATGGACGACATTAACACGGCCATCGAAAGGCTTGTGAAATCTGACGTTAAATATCGGTTCGTGATCGACATTGGAAACTCCTTGAAGAAGTAGAAGGGAAGGGAAGGTTTGACTGCAAGCTAATATAATGCATAGTGAGCTGATGATTCTAGTTAATATATGCACAGAAAACATATGGAAATGTCCTGTTTTATGTTTTACTGTCATGTTGGTTCTGTCATGTTTGATTAAGAAACTTTCTGATTATGCTAATAAAATTTTCTATCGTTCATCTTTGGTCGCGTGTTGGTAGCATACCGGAGAGTCTAAAAAAAAAACCTGCATTAATGCCGAGAAAGTAGTTGGTTTCTTCGAGATCTTAAGGGATGATTTCTCATTGTGTAAATAATTTTGTTACAGGTAAGAAAACACCCCTTCCACGTGTATAGATTATGGATACTTGGACGAAGCTATGTGGAGACCAATTGAGTCCAACTTAGGCCACAAGGTTGGGAAAAAATTCTAATACTACTAGAGTATGGATACTTTTATTCACTGTTTATCACGTTAGCATCACATTAGAAAGGAAAAAACTTCCCCTGAACATTCCGAAGGAAGCTCCTCCTAAATGGTCTAGTAACATATAGACAAGTGTTTTTTTTTTTTTTTTTTTAATTTTGCATAATTCCTACATGGTCCAATTGTCTATATGCTATTGGACCATGTAGGAATTTATAAGGGAAGTTTTTCCCAATTAGAAATGATGTGGGATCAAAGCTATATTGATAGGATCTGGTCAATACTGTTCGTCCTGAATTCATCTCCCACCATTCTTGTATGCTCGCCACTCTGGTGTGTAGCACAACAACTAGTGACGCAACAGGCCTACGAAAGTTAGGTACGAAATGGACTTATCCCAAGAACATATTCCGAAATTCGCTATGAATGGTAGGACTTACATTTTATATATAAACATGATATATATATATAGTATAATAAAAGTCACCTTAAAGAGAAACTTTTTAGGTCAATTTTACAATTTTATTATAAACATTTTCACTATTACTTTGGGAGCAATTTTGTTTATTTTGATGCTTCCCCTCGAATTCCACCATCTTCTCTTATTAATTTTCTCTCAAATTAATCTTCAACTCTTCACTTTTTCTCACCCCACTCATCCACATTCTCTCCAATTGTCTCCCTCAAATCCTATCTCTTCCTCTCTTTTTCCAATTATAATATCATATTATCTCCAACTGTGTCTCTCCCAAATCCTATCTACTCTTATTTTTCCAGCTATAATAATAAGCACTATAGTGTAGTTAAGGCATTTTCACAGACGAGGTTGAAAAACAATTTAGCTCATGTTAATGGAAGAAAAACTAAAAATGAAATAAATACGCAAATTGCCATTGAATTAACGAAAGAATGAGTCTAATACAAAATACGAGCCCGCGGAGTCTTGCATTGGCTGAGGAAAGCACAAAGAAAGACTCGAGAATTGTTCCTAAAAACCCTAGCTTAACCCTTCTCTCTTTCAAGTTTAAGAAGATCAGTAAATTACTGGGTATAATTCTTTTTTTTCCTTTTTTGTTTGTGTCACTGCAATTGTCTAATAATACAAAAACTAATAGGGTTGATTTGAGAAGAGATGGGATCAGATGCCTTCCTCCTTGAATTCGTGGATATTTATAGGCTTCCTTGAAGACCTTGAATTGTTGGAGGATTTTAGTTGCTCAATTCCACGGAGTCTTGCATTGACTGAGGAACCGACTAATGATAACCTTGATTTCAAGGATAAATGGGAGTTAATTCATGTTAGTTTAGACTTAGTTTAACAAGTAAATGTCCATAATTATTTTTATCGAAAACGTCCGATAAGAAACAATGTCTCCAAGAACACTCGAAGAAGTTATCCTGCAAAAATGAGTTAGCACTCAGAAGCTTTTGTCAGTACAGGATATGAATGAGTCTCAAGTATATTTCAAATAACAAAATTTGCGTACATTCTCCCTTTGACTTAAGGGTATTTATAATGTTAAGTGATAACCGCCGTGTAAAGAATTTTAATTTATGATTATCTTCGAGATTCCGGACGAATTGTACGTGTTGATGCAGAAATTTGGTCTCCTGGGATTCCGTCAAATTCGCACCAATGTTCAAGAATAAAAGGGATCGATAAGACCTGCAAAACAGAATAGCACTAAAGGTCGGAGTTGCAAAACAGAATAACATTAAAGACCGGTGTGGCTCTTGCCGTAGGGTGTTGTGAGCATAGGAATGAGTAGAGATTTGTAGCCTATCAAATAGTAGGGATTTGTAGCCTTCCCTTTAGGGTTTGACTTACTTCCCTATTTATAGAAGTTGAATCATGATCCCTCCAGGATCGTAAAATTCGAATCCTGATACATCTAGGAAATCTGATTATCTGAATCTAGGGGGATCTTCCTCTTTTGAATATAGGATATCTTCTCCTGAATCTGAAGACCATTAAGATATCTTCCTTTTGAATCCCTTGAATAAAGGGAATTTGGATTTTCTCATCTATAACAATAGCCCCCACTCTCAAAGTTGAAGATTATCAGACTTCTGTTTTCAGAGTATTTTATCGTGTGGTTGGTTGCAATCAAGTCTCTTGGACTCAGCTATACGGTTGGTTTTAACTGTTAAATTTTGGCCTTGGGATCTAACTTTTAGCAAAGCCAGTGGTACTTCTTTTGGGTTTCTAACCTATTTGGCTTTTGCTCGTGGTTTTATACCCTAGGGTTTACTCTTGGGTTTCTAATCTATTTGGCTTTTGCCCTGGTTTTATACCCTAGGGTTTACTCTTGGGTTTCTAACCTATTTGGCTTTTGCCCATGGTTTTATACCCTAGGGTTTACTCTTGAGTTTCTAACCTATTTGGCTTTTGCCCATGGTTTTATACCCTAGGGTTTACTCTTGGGTTTCTAACCTATTTGACTTTCGTCGATGGTTTTATACCCTGAGTTTAGTTGGCACACTTGGGTTTTTAACCTATTTAGCTTCTGCCGGTTTTTTACCCTAAGTTTAATCAATACCCTTGGGTTTCTAACCTATTTTGGTTTTTGCCAAATGGTTTTATACCCTGGCTTTCGTTGACTGGTTTGACATGCCTGCTTTTTGATTCTGTCTTAGTTCAAGTTCCTTGACCAGCTGTTGATTAGCTTACCCATGCCCAACTTGGAGGAGACCGCATGATGTGTTGTCACACGTCCTTCTCCTACTCACTATAAATACTTTCTCCATTCACCTTGGTATTGAACCATACAAACACCTTCCATAGGGAGGCCGCGCTCAGGGCGACACGAGGCCGAGCATGGAACTCACGGTGTGAACTTATACACATAACATGACCGCATATATCTTATATACTTGGTATATTTTATATATACCTAATCCTCCCACCTAGTGTCCTAAGCATAATAGTTTACCCAATATAACTTTTATATTGGATTTGTTTAACACTAATGTTTTAGATCATTAAACGCTTTAACAAACTAACCACATTATTGCATGCTATATAATATTGACTAATTCAATCTTCGGGTCGGTTTCCAGGTAGAGGTGTTCCCTTACGGTCAGAATCTTCCTTAGACAAGATTCCCTTATAGGCAATACTTTATATTAACATTTTATTTCGTCATTTTAAACCAATTTAAAACAAAAAATAAAAAGTATATAACCTAAGGCATAATTAATTTCAAACCCGTTTAAAATTAATTATTAAAGACCAAGGGTTGCATGCAACTATTGATTATAGACTTTAATCTATATTCACCAAAATTATAACACTTATAAATTTAAATAAATTAAAACTATAATCATGCATTAATGACATACATAAATATAACAATTATATTTGCTAGACTAATGTCATGGTCAATGCAACTTTATTTCATCTAATTAATACAACACTTATATTAATCAATTATGAAAATAAATCATGCTATCATATATTATAAATATTATATACATATGATGCATGAACATGCTTAACCTATGGTGGGATTTTAAACTATATGACATACTCTTATGCAACATATATTTAATTAACTATACATTCACAATGCATGATAATTAAATAGCAAAATAGATCAGTTTTTGACATCCTATAAAAAAATGAAGCCAAAAAAAAAAATAATAATAATAAATAAAATTTTCTTCTTCCCAACGCCAACGCGCTGCGGGATAGCGCCTAGGCGTTGGCCCTTCTACTGTAGTCCCGAGCTCTCGGGTTCCTATAGTGACAGCAACGCCTAGGTGCCGCCCCAGCCCCGAGGCGCTGTCCGCCCGACTTATCTAGTTTTTATTCACTTCTCTTGTACTCTTTCACAGCAACTTCTGAATGACACAAATTTATAGACTTGATTTATAGGATTAAACGCCCAAAACAACAGGACTTTACATTGATCGAATCAACGGAAAACTGTAAATCTAATGCCAAAACCAAAACCATTTATTTGCAAACCACATACATCAAATGTAGAGAAATCACCCACCATTCTTTTCTATGTAATTCAAAACGAGATTGAAAGTAGAGCCTAGGCTCTGATACCAATTGAAGGAATCGGATCCCGCAGCGGAAGCGCGCGAATGCATGTGCTTCGATCTTGTTTTAGAATTCCAACAAAGAAAAAACATAAGCATGATTAAAAAAAATTAAAGTTAGTGATACATACCTTTGAAAACACCTCTTCAATCTAGACACCAACGCCACCAAAAAGTCTTTCTCGCTGTCCTTTGGATGTTAAGAACTCAGTTTGTGGAAACCGTCTTATAATTGAAAGGGAGATTGATAAATTGAGAGAGATATTTTTTCGTTGGAGTTTCGAAAACTCAATTAACCAACATTCAGGCGACACTCAAAGAGAAGGGGAGAACTTCCCTTTTATAGGGAAGGAGAAGTGAGGGGCAAGTCACTACTTCCCCACTCACTTCCCTACTTCCCACCATTTTCCTTTTTTTTTTTCTTTTTTTAAATTTAATTAAAATTTTTTTAATTTAATTAATAATTAATCAAATCTAATTTAATTAATTACAAAAAGAATTATTATTTTAATTAAATTATTAAATATAATTTAATCTAACCAAATTAAAATATCCCATTAATTTAATTAAATCACATTTAATCAAATTAAACTTAAATTAATCAACCATATTAGAATCAAATTCTAATATCCATCTCTCTCATAATTTTGAATCCAATTCAAAATTAACTTTATCAACGTACATTAGGTTAATTGCATCTCATTCAATTAACTTTAATTCCCGTTAA